ACACGGCGCATCCGAAAGAACTAATCATCGCCGAGGCTTCAACCTATCTTATTTTCATATAGGACCATTTTTAGACATTTTCGTGTAAAAGCAGTGAATTCGATGGCTTAGGGTGGAGCGGTTTTGATGTTATCACAGGTGAAACAGACCACACAGCGTGGTCCAGGATAGGACCACCCCCTCTACACCTTACCACAGTGACACGCAGTGACGTCATCAAAACCGCTCCGCCTTCCAGCCATCATGTTTACTGCCAGTAACCACTGCAAGATTGATAGCTATTGATTGACTCAGGTCGCCATGGTACTCGATCGATTCCTGCTCATCGTCTTTCTAATCGGCACAGCGTTGTCATCATTTCTGATATTATATCAACGTAGTATCTTCGAATGAACTGAACATCTCCACACAATGGGAGGAGCTTTCCGTACTCAACTCCGCCCACGGAACAATAGCAGGCTGACCTCATTGAAATGCTGACTCTTCGAAGATTTGCATTCCACGACAAATATTCATTAGATTACATTTCGCCTCGTTTAGCCTGTCTTTACAATTGTTTACTTTCAAATATTTCCAAAAGTGCTAATTTCATTTATTTATACGGGTTCACTTCACATTGACAGATGAATATTGCTAAGTTATTCGCGAGTTATTAAGAGTACAGCATATCACAACTGATCACTAGTTAACATTTGATTATTTGCGAGAATTACTTTCAGAAAATTGGAAAAAGAATATGTACACATTAAGACTCGACATGGGAACAAAATCAGAGCATTCCATATTTTAAGAATACTCGGGCGTATATAAATACCAGAAAATTCAAAAAAAAATAATCGAAAGAATAATGTGGTGTATGTATGGATTGCGAGTTAGGAAGTAACGGTTGCGCTCAACCCGGAACCATCGGAAAGAGCAGAGGGCAAAGGTCAACTTGGCTAATGACGATGTTCACGACAAATTCAGTTTATGAACTTCAGTTCCAGAGTATCGGCGGAATTCCAGGGGACGGTTTCTACGTGGACCTCTTTATACCTGCGACAGGTACGTATGCAATATCGAAAGTTGCCGATCCACTATTTCGGTAATAGGGCATAGAGTAGAAAAGAAAACGCATCCAGGCAACATTCCTACAGCCTCTGCAGTCCACTTGCAGTTCGCGTAATGATTTGGTACATATCGATCATGAGATGCGGTCGTGCAATCGCAATCGCCGCGATGCGTTGGTCACGCGTCGCTTTTATCCTTCGGTCTACCTTTTCTCAGACCACCGTCACACTCGGCGACGACGGACAAACCATCGGACGATCGCGATCGCTCCATCGCTTGTCCCTCGCTTGCCAATCTTGTGCACTTTGCAAGCGATTGCGCAAATCGCTTGCAAAGTGCACAAGCGACGGGCGATGGTATACCGCAGCCGACTGCACCGACTTGGGGCGAAGCCAATCGCCAACCGCCGAGTGTGACGGCGGTCTCATCACTTTGCGACCGCTGAAACCTTTCGTCCGTCGTGAAAGTAGCCTGGTTTATTTCCTGACACACTTATTAAGGAATACATAGTTTACACAGAACCAACGGGGCGTACAAGTGGAAATAAAATGTAAGGGACGAGGAAAAAAGGGAAAAGAGATGACTGCAATCAAGGATGCGAAGAGTCTGCTACGCGTAACGGTGACTGCGATCGCGGATCCGCGAGCTGTGAGCTATGAAGGCTGTTACGGTGATTTTAATTTATTAATTTATTTTAATTTAGAAGCAAGTGGTTCGTGGACCGAGATAGCCAATATGGCAACTTCTACTCTATCTCTCTCGTTAGACAAACACAGAGTTAGATAACAGGGACTGGTGAAACATTAGCGAGGGATGTGCCTTTTGTTGCTACGCACACTTGCACTCAGCCCCTTAATAGAACCGCTGCGATTTGACGGATTCTCGCCTGCCTCTCTGCGCTTAACCGCGCTTTTATTAATTACTTTGAGCTTTTATTATTAAACTTTGCCATAATTTAACTAGAGTTCCCTCCCTCTTCAAGGCTTAGTCCTAGAGCTCTCACCTTCTTGGTTGGGATTTGAAGCCGAGCCAGGCACCGTTCTCTAATCGTCTGTGCTCTGGCCTTTCTCGGCAGAGACCATAGGGGAGAGTTCAAGTAGTCACGTAATCCCTTTTGTTACATCTTTTGTTTTCGAAAGAAAGCCCTGTTAGTTTAAAATTCAACATCGTTTTGAGTATGCAGAAATGAGGTGCCCTTTGCCCTCTCGGAGGTATGAGTAATAAAACGACCGCCAATTCAAGGTACAAACTTATGAACCACAAAAAATTGAGTTGCTGAAGGGTATTACTAAGGCAAAGTCTTGAGTTGTAAGTCGAAAAACGGCTACTTGTCAGCCTTCTCAAAAGCCATGGAAACGCTGTTGATGCAATAACGTTCGCCAGTCTCCTTCGGACCGTCGTCGAACACATGACCAAGATGAGCATTGCACTGAAACCCTCAAATCTCAATAATCTCACAAATACGAGTATTATTTTCATGAATATAAAGGCACTGAATTTCGTATCTTAGCGGTTGAACAATCCTGTCGAGATGAAACATGCACCGGCAACTAATCACACTGGATAATTAGCGATATTGCTTCGATTGATTAGGAAATATGCAACTTTTACTCTTCCATACACGCCAGTTGACAGACAGCCGATTTAAAATGACGAAGTTGGCCTCATGAAAAGTGATCCACGCAACCCGTTATTACATAGTACAGGTGTTTCTACCGCCCAAAAATGTGAGAAAAAATGATCATGAATATGGTATTTCTGGCCGAGGTGGGTGGAGATGACCAAGGATATTGGGTGTGATTCACTAGGACAGAAAGCGACTTTTTCGCGTTTCGCAGCGCGAACATTTTTCGCTGCGGGAAACTCAGGTCCACTCATGATCAGCGGTGGACCTGAGGTTCCCGCAGCGAAAAATGTTTCGCGCTGCGAAACGCGAAAAGTCGCTTTCTGTCCTAGCGAATCACACCCATACCTTATGTTGAGCTGTTTTCTTTGGAGAAAAGAAGCAGTTGTGAAGTAATGAAGTAACTAGAAATGACAGCAAAGAAATACTGTCCGAAAACATCACAAACGAATAAATGAACGGGCACAAAAACTGCTCAAAAACTCACACTCTTGCAGCGAACTTCTACCCTTTTCATGCCGTGTGTATTATCTTCCAAACGAATGATATTCATATCATTGCCAACGGATTTCGAAAACGCCGGCCACCCACAACCAGACCAGAACTTGGAATCGGAACTAAAACACTTCAACTAAACAGCAAAGTGGCATACATTCACGATGGACGTAGCAAAAAAAGAATTCAAAAACGTACTTGAACAGCTCAGCCCCGCAACACAGACATACGTATCTCCCTTTCTCGAAAAAATTATCAAACGCTCCAGAGAATGCCGGTTCCGTACCTCAAACAATTTTTAATCGAATTTCAGATGCTGATTCACCCTATCCATCATTTCTATGACTGCGGTTGTGTTTGATAAATTGCTGATGGCTGACCAGGGTTGGAAGTCTAACCCAAAAGCATGAAAGGCGTTCTCATAATGCTCACTGTCTGTCATTGTCTACCAAATCCTGATAGTCTAAAGTAAGCAGCGATGAGCCGCCAGCATTCACCCAGCATTACAGAAGCTAATGTAGAAGGCCTGATTTAGTCCATATATCGAAGGTGTTGAGGACAATAACATTTTTACGTCAAAGTTGACGGCAATAATCAGCAGCTGCTGATATGAATGACGTACACCTTGTTTCTCGCGGCCAGATCTACCGCAAGCACAAGTGGCTTCCGATAAACTCAAGAGATTCGACAAGGGCATAAGGTATTGACTTTTCTGGTTACAAGGCTTCAGTCAACCAGGCGGTGAGAGCGTAGGAGGAAACCAGACCCTCTGTATAGCACTAATGTAAGACTAATTGAAGCCTTTTAAAACGAATAGATGAAGCAGAGATTCTGTAATAGTGCGCTTGTGTGAGAGCTCCCAGACAGCACAACAAAACGCTGAATTGCCTAGCCTCACAGTTGACAGATGTCCTGAGACCGACCTTTCTAGGCACGTGTGATACGCCATCTTCATTTACGACTGTACCAGCTATAGAAAAAAGAGAGCATACCTGCGTTACGAGCGACTTCGAAAGATTCCGCGGGGAGGACTTTTTTCCAGTCGGTTTGAGAAACCTGTTTTGGATCCTTGACATCTCCAAGCTTTTTTATTCCAATGTCGTCCGGACCTGAAAACAATGAGTCGCTAAAACCTTAAAAATGCTTGCAAAAGAAGGAAAATTCAAGAGAAAGCTTGCGCAAGGCAATCAATGTAGCCAAATGCGAATACCTAAGATCGCCGAGGACTCCCTAAAAACAAGGAAATAGCACAATTAAAAGGATACTAACCATGTTTGGTCGTTGACATAATCCTGAATACGTTCCCAATGATGGCAGCAGGTGAAGCCTTTTTGGAGAATATTAGTCGGCGTGTACAACTCAAAAGCATTCACCCAGTTCCACTTAGAGGAACTGAAATTAAAAGCGATGTATAGCAAAAATACTGATCGAAAAGATGGAGCGAAAAACTACGTTGAATGACTGGAAACAATACTCGTCAAAAGTGAGAAAACCCGTCAGCCACAAGAGCTGAATTAGACGCAAATGTCCCATAAAACATTCGGCACTATTGCACTAACCCCAGTGGGGGCCGAGATGGGTCAAAAAATAATTTTCGCTGAAACTTCTGCTATGGGGGTTATCGAGGGTCCTGATCACGAATATGACATCCATTTTTGGCGCTGGCGCCAAATTGGCGCCATTTGGCGCCACAACTGATTTCACCAAATTCGCTGTAAACTTCTGTATAGGGGTTATTTGGGGCCCTGATCACGAATATGACACTCGTTTTTGACATTCGTGCTGTTTAACGCATATTTTCTGCTTTTCTAAGCTTCCTCGCACTCACCGTGTGGCAAAAGTTGGAGTGTGTTAGACCACAGGGGAGTGCCCTACTCACTTTGGAGCCCTCCACTATTCAAAGGCTTAGTCTCTGATTGCGATCTAATTAGTGCGAGGGCGCAGACGAGCAGGAAATAGGCGCCGAATAGCGCTAACAACAAAAACGGATGTCCATATTCGTAATCAGGACCACAAATAACATCACAGAAGTTTACAGCGAATTTAGTGGGAATCAGTCGTGGCGCCACCAGGCGCCAAATGGCGCTAAATTAGCGCCAACAAAGCCGCCAAAAATGAATATCATATTCGTGATCAGGGCCCTCGATAATAACCCCCATAGCCCGAAATTTCAGCGAAAATTATTTTTTGACCCATCTCACCCCTGCTGGGGTTGTAATAAGTGCAATAGTGCCAATTTTGAAATAG